CACAATGCTTCTGCTGTTCAAAGAAAACCAGTCCAAATTAGTATGTATAAACCACTCGTATTTATGTCGCTAACAAACGCTGCTTGCTAAGGCATTTAGCACTGCTGCTGGGGAGGGAGCTGGGGAGCTCTGTAACAGTGGGACTTTTTTTTTTTTGCTTTTGGGGAGATTTAAAAAAAAAAAAAAGCTGGAATTTGGATGTTTACTGGGATTGCAGGATTTCAGAGTGCTGGAACGCTGGGTTGGGATGTCATGGGATGTCACGTCATGCCTTTTTCTCACTTTTATTTTGTTAGCTATTAGAGGATTCGCATGGAGTGGCTGAGGGCAAAGTGTTCCTGGAGCAGAGTTAAGGGTCAGCATTGGGTAACCTCACCATTTTGGTGCAGTGTTCCAGGACAACTCACGGTGGCTGTTGTGCAGCACTGAGCCGGTGCATCCAACAGCAGCTGGGGGGAAATTGCAGTGCTGGGGAGCACAAGCTGAGTTACTCAGCACTGTGCTTCGTGCAGATGGAGGCGCAAGCATTTAAGCTAGAACAGAAATTTTGCTCTCAATCTCTTCTTCAGTTTTGCTTTTCAGTTCACTGCCATGCAGATAAATACCTGGTGGCAAAACGTGTGCTGTGTGTGTCAACCTCTGCCTGTGGGCACTTCTGCTCCCCCAGCACAGCTCTCTGACTGGGAACGTTCTGCCTTATTGTGAAGGTTTCCTGCCTGCTGTGAACGAGAGCGTTAGGAGCTGCATGTTATCTAACCATTCCTTTCCTCTTGCTGATAAACCAGCTGGCTATGCACGAGGCTGCAATCTAGTGAACATCCTATACATTGTGTTGGTGTCGCAGCTTTGATGTCACTTCTGTCCTTTTTTTTTTTTTTTTTTTAATGCTTTCCTGTTAGATCTGGAGTAAGAAGGAAACAGGGCTCTTCCTGCCTTGCTTATGGGATGGACCAAGTGCCTGCCTGCAGGGATTCTTGCTGTTGGTGGGTGCTGGTGGTGAGGGCTGCGGGGCCATCGCTGGGAGCTCCCGGTGAGCCAGGGGTGAGTGCTGTGGGAGCAGAAATGGGGAGAGCTTTGTTCTCATCGCAGTGCGATTGTCCTGCCGACAGCTTGTTGGTCTGAGATGGGGCTGAGGGAGCCTGAAGCTTGTGCTATGAATTTAGGTTGCTTTTTAGGGGGGACTGAAGTCTCAAATGCAAACCCAGTCCAGCTTTTCTGGGAGCTTTGCGCCTTGAAGAAAGCTGTAAATTCAGGCAGCAACTGCAAACCTTGGCTCTGTCTTTGGGGGAGGGAAGACCTGACTTGGAGCAGGAGCTGGGAAGGCTTGAATTGATGGCTCTTTACCACACTGCTGGTGCTCACTGCTAGCCAGGGGCAAAGACCTCAGGGACAGAGCACAGAACAGACGAGCAGCGGGAGCAGCAGCTGCTATGGGATCATTTTCTGTAGCATAAGTAACTCTGGTGGCGCACAGCCTCATAGTGGAGCTTTTATATTTAGTTGATAGCAGCCAGTAACGAACAGCTGTCTATGTTGGGAAGTGTGGGATGGCAGAAAGTTGGGCTCTGTAGCAAGGAATGTCTCTTGTGATGCTCCTGCCTGATGTTTGGAGTGGGGTAGGAAGTGCAAGGTAAGCAGTTACTGTGGCAACTAAAACGTGGCTTAGGAGATGTTCATTTCCAGCCCTGTGGGAAACGCCAACTTTACCACTTCTGTCCTTGTCTGTTTCTGAAATGCTCGCAGTGCATTACAGGACTGTGTAATTAGGCTTGTGCTGCTCCTTGCTCTAACTGCTGGTTTTGATTGGCTTTCTCATTAGCCATGTTTCATTTGATCTGGGAATGCAGCTTTGTGTGTGCTTACGCTGTGACCTCCCTTCTTATCAGCACTGTTTCCCAGGTCAGTTGTGTCTCAGCAGAGCAGAGAAATGCCTTTGCTGCTGTGCCTGTTGCTTTTCGCCCCGAAGTTTCATTTCATTCTGCTGTGTTGTGCAGGTTTTTCACCTTCCCTCCCTGCCCTGTAAATCTGTGATTTATAGCTCTGTGTTCTTGTTTCTGCATTCCAAAGAAATCTCAAGAACTGAAATTAATAGGGACTGATTGACTCAAGAGATGATCTGGAGTTATTTACAGGTCTATGCCTGTAGGAATTCTTACCCTCTACTGTTTTTAAGTTGCAGAATTTGATAATCAAGTGATAAAGTCATTTTCAGTCCATGACAGCTCAGGCAAGCATATCCTGCTATGGCCAAGCAATAAAATGTTGGTGGAAAATGACACCATTCTTCATGAATAATCCTGGAGCCGTGCCTTGCAAGTGGCAGAATCTACCTTTGGGAGCAGCTTCTTGTGGCAAATCCTGCTGTGTTTTAATGAGTACAAGTCCTTCCTTCTCCAGGCACACTGTCTGGAGAACACGTTTTGCTGCTGTTTCCTTTGAGCTGACTTCCTGTGTCCTTTGTTTTCCAGCCTAAGCGAGAGCTTTTTCATGGTGAAAGGAGCAGCCCTCTTCTTGCAACAAGGAAACAGCTCCCAGGGCCAGCGAAGTCTCCAGCATCCTCACAAACATGCAGGTATGGATTAAAGCATGGCCTGATGCTCCTTTCCCTCTTTCTTCCCCACTCCTCCACACTGGCAGCCCAACAGCAGGTGTGGTGGTGGTTGGCTCCTCTGTCACAGTGGGTTTTGTACAACCTGCTGGGGAAAAGGAGGTTTTCAGTCCACTTGACATGAATGGGAACATGTGGTGATCTTGTCTTTGTTTAAACTTTTGTCATCCGCTTGGAAGTGTATCTGGAGCAGAAGTTTATTCTCTGCAGACATTGTGGCATTCTGTAGCCAGGAAAGCCCTCTAAGCCAGGGGCTGTGCTGTATGTGTGTCCCTATTTTCTGCAGCCTGCAGTGAAGAAATGTCACTTGTTTCTGCTTCAGTAGTTTGATCTTTGCCTTCTCCTTTGGCCTGTGGGGAGGAAAATGCAATGGGTTGAGTCATACGGCTCCAGCACCCCTTCTGTGTTTACTGAGCTCCTGATTCAGTGTGTCAGGGACGTTGCTCCTGAGTGCTCTCCCAGCCTCCCACAGTCTGAAGCTTGGGACTTCATATGACAGCATCTTTTATTATTATTATTATTTTTAAACCACCTGTTGCTGGTTTTGTTCAATGCTACTTCTCAAAAGTGAGGTACGCTTTCAGTGGTATTTGAGCCTCTGGACAAACAGCCCTTTCTTATCTCCTTACAGCCCCTTTTCTGGTTTCAGGAAATCCCCTTTTCAGTTAACCAATCTAAATCTGGCCTGTGGGCATTTCTCATGGTTTGAGAACAGCTTGTCCTTCCTCCAGGCACACTCCAGTGTTCCAAAATGGTGGGAGGAGAGTTGTGTGGTGAAGGTCTGTAAGGACTGATAAGCAGACGGGGTTTAAGGAAGTTGGATCCCACTCATCCTGTATTTTTATGCCTTCTGTCATTGATGGTTTTGTAATAAGTGGTTAAAGGGCAAGAAGAATTAAGCTCATCAGGGCATTTTGAGTGCAGAAGCATGTGGGAAAGGCACAGTGTGGTACTGTGTGCCTGCTGCTTAGTAAACACTCCAAGCACAAAGAGGCTGTTTGAATGCCAAGCGTGGCTTTGGGTTTCTTCAATTGTCAGCAATTTGGTATACCCAGCAAACATCCTACGGAAGGAATTTTATCTTTTATGGAAAGTTATGAGTGTGTTACCAAGTTATTAGATGTGAACTTGGTTTGTTTTCTTGTAGATTCTTTGTTCCTTTTGCTTGCTTTCACTGAGCAGAAATATACCCACCGCTTTGGAGTAGTTGCATGAGCAGATCTTTATTTGTTGCAGAAGGGATGCATCACCTGAATAGAGCCACTCCTGCAGCCCTTCCTCCTCAGAAGCTGCTTATGTTCAGATGACCTTTTCTGATGTTGTCTCTGCTCTCACTGCAGGTGACTTGCCCCAGCACCTCCAGGTGATGATCAACCTCCTTCGCTGTGAGGATAGAATCAAACTGGTAAGAACAGGTGCATTTTCCTGCCCTTCTTTCTGTTGGAGGAGTTTGAACCAGATCTCTACAGGGTCACAGAAAGCATTGGCAAATTCATGGTTAGCTTCAGACTGCTGCACTTGGTTGCCAGCCCCACCATGCTTCCCCGTATGCAACTTTGGGGCTGATCCTTATATCCAGGTTATGAGTTGAGTCTGTGTTAATTACCTATCTAGAATGGCTAGATAGAATGTTTCAGTGAAGGCTTGTCAGTGTGGAAGAGCCTCTGAGGTTCTCCAGCTTAGTGCACAATCAGTACTTCTACCTGCTTTCAAGTTGAACATCTTCAGAGGAAACCTTCAGATGGTATTTGGTAATGCTTCTGCAGCACGGGACAGTTCATCTAGACTGCTCTTATCTCTAATCCTCTCCTGATTCCAAGACAAACTGGCCTTGCTTGGATGAGGGACTACCTCTCCCATTGTCTCTCATCCTGCAGCTGAATAAAGCTTTGAGGCACAATTACACCTGTAAAATATTAGGCAGCAATGGAAGTGCAGATTGTCCTAAAGCTGTTGTGCAGGGCTTGATGTCTTTTTGTTGTTGTTCCTAGGCTGTCCGTTTGGAAAGCGTATGGACGGACAGAGTGCGGTACATGGTGGTTGTGTACAGCAACGGGAGGCAGGACACGGAAGAGAATATTTTGCTGGGTGTGGATTTTTCCAGCAAGGAGAGGTATGTCTAGGGCAAAGGCAGGCTGCCTTCTCTGGAAAGCTTGTCAACAACTGTGCCCAAGCAGTTAATTTTCATGTACTCCAGCAAAAGAAGAGACATAGTTGTTAATTCTTCCGACCGTTGTGAGAGCGCTTTTTGTTCCAGAGAACTTTCAGTCTCCTTAGAATCTCTAGGCACTCTATGCAGCTGTGGGCAAAGCATTCACTTGTAATCCATCTGGAGGGCTGTGGTATCTAACTCATTTGTGGTAGCCTGCTTTCTCCTCACAACAAAATGCTTCTGTGGAAATGTTTCCTGAAGTGGAACTTATTTGCTCCATCAGACTTCAAGTCTGTTCGTGGCATGATGCAATGGAGCTGTTTCAGGTAGGTTAGTTGCCAAATAGTATCAACAACAATAGTGCAGAAGTACCTCCAAAACCAACAAACAAATGTGTTAGTAATGAGCTGTTCCTTTTGTCTGACTGATAAGAGCACAGAATGTTTTGAAATGAAAATAAAACGTTGCTGCAGACCTTCTCACATAATTCCAGTTGTAGGTGAGGAAACCAAGAACAGCTCTTGGCTGGAATAGGTGAGGCTGCTTTGGCAGAGCTAGAGTTAGAAGGCAGACTTCCAGATTTGTTTCTGTTCCCTGGGTAGATTGAGCATGCTGCCATGCTGAGCTGACACAGCCAATGGGGCTTTGTGTTTTTGTCTGGTTAAACCTCTGTGGATTGAAGTGGGAAGGGAGAGCTTTTGCACTGCTGAGTCCTGTTGGTGAACTCCTAGCAGTGCCTTCCTAAGGAGATTATTGACTTGGCTTTGGTGCTGCTTCTGTGTCTGCTCTAAATTACTGCTGTTGGTGTTAGGGAGGAAATTCCAACATTACATTCCTTCCTGGCACATCTGCAACAGCAGGCAGCATTGGCCTTGTCTTCTCCAAATCCAAGGTGACCATCCAGTGATTTCCTCCTGGAGGTGATTGGTGTGAAACAAGAGGAGAGATGGAAAAGTAATGGCACATCCATCCCAACTGCGAGGTTCTGCTGGTTCATTCAGTTGCCTCTGAAAACGGAGGGATTTGTTAATGAAGGAAAAGTGTCATGCATAAAGAAGTCTGTTGGCATTAATGACTCGTTGAGGGACTCCAAGGCTCCATGTTGAGGCAGAAATGGCACTTCTCAGCTGTGAGTGTGCTGGCTGCTGAGAGTTGGGCTGGTTGGGCTTTTGTGGGCTTTATTCCTTGTATGTGTGTTGAATAAGAAACTTTTTTCTCACAGAGCTCGAGAGTGTTATGTTGTCTATGTGTGAGTTCAAACTGGCTTTGTAATAGCCTTTGATTCACTGTAGGCAGTGGCTGAAGGCTTTAAAAATAATAGAATAAAAGAAACCAAAACAGTCCTGAGTTCTTGCTGCTGGTTGTTGGATGCGTCCTGAGTTCCTTTAAAACTTTAATATCTCAGCAACTGAATTATTTAGTGGTTGAAAGTTGCTGGCCCCCAATTATAGTAGTTTCCTTGCCAAATTGCATCTTTGAAATAGAAGTGTTCTTCTGGGTAAGGTACACCCATAAAATGCTTTTTTTTTCTTTTCTATCAGCCAAAGCGGTGAAGTGAGAACCAAGCACACAAACCTTTGAAAGGCCCCCAGGATCCTCTCTGCAAAGGGCAGAAAGGAAAGCATCTGCCAGCACTTGCTGAAAGCTGAATCTCTGCTTTCAGAGATTATACCCTGCTCTTCTGTCCTGTTAGGGATGTTCCTTGCACTGAGCTTATGAAGGTGAGAGAGGAGGAGAGGTGATGAGACAAATACTGCAGTGCATTCTGGCAGCTATGGTGGTTCTGACTCTTGATTCTGTGCTGTTGGTTCTCCAGTTGGTATCAGAGAAGACCTTTACACTTTAGTTGTCCATCTCCTTATGTGCTGCACATGAAATAGCTGAAGATGATATGAGGAATTACTAAAGCAAGGCTAGAGGATTTTAAAAATTAAAGACTATTAATAATTGAGGATATTGGCATGACTGCATTGTGGCCTATATTTAACATCCATAACATTTCTCTTCCAGTAAAAGCTGCACTATAGGAATGGTTCTTCGTCTGTGGAGTGATACTAAGATCCATCTTGATGGCGATGGGTAAGAAACCCCATTGAAAGCATGGATGTGAGTGGCCTTCCCTTCTGGGGCTGCTGTGGGAGGGACACTCTGTCACCATACAAATTAAGTCCCAATTTCAGATTCATGGCTGCAGTCCTTTAATTCAGGGAGCTGCAGGGGTGGAGCTCCCATTCCTGGTGCTGTATGGCAGGTGTCCACTTGTCGCTTTTCTTTGGGGGGGATAATGGAAAATGGGTGATGGAAATTCTCATCCCTTATTCCTTTTGATTGTGGGTGCTCCTAGAGCTGACTCGCAGCAGCCTGAGAGCAGAGAAGTGCAGTTTGTGACTTTTTCCCCCTCTCTCTTAGTGGCTTCAGTGTGAGCACTGCTGGGAGAATGCACATCTTCAAGCCAGTGTCGGTGCAAGCCATGTGGTATGTGTGCTAATTAGCTTTATTGAGAAAGAGGCTGTAATTTCTGTGAATAAATTAACAACAAACAAACTGCATTTTAGCATTTTCCATAGCTGATATTCAGCAAGCTGCAGCAGAGATGCTGCTTCCCTGTGTCAGCTGGCAGCAATGTTTAAAGGGGCTCTGGGAGCACTGATCCAAAGCCAGCATCTTCTGCTGCAGCTGTGTGCTCTGTGACATGAGGGCAATGGGAAATGGCACTGATGAGATGTATGGACATGAAAGCCCAGCGTGAATTCATCAGGGTGCCAACCCGGTCTTTCCTCTCCATGCATAACCTCCCTAGTATGAGGGAGTCTTGTGACCCATTGCCAAATTGATGGCATTTCCAACTCTGCCCCATTCCTGGGGCCAGGCTGGGGCTGCTTCTGCATGGAAACTTTCTGTGCCACTCTGCAATCATGCTCACCTTTCAGCTCCTGTCACCCCTCCCATGTGCAGGGATTCCAAAACGCTGAAGCAGAGACGATTGAATCAGCAGCAGCTGTGCCAGCAAATGCCTTCTTGAAGAGGCTTTGTCCTGCCCCAAACAGAGCAAATGCCTCTCCTTGAGTTCTTTGTGGAGCCTCAGGAAACTCCTGTGCTTGTCATAGCTGGTAGGGACAAGATAAAGGTGTAGAGAATGGTGTGTCAGGGATGGTTTGGTACAGAAACAAACCAAACTTGATCCTGTCATTTTTTTGAGCTCAGCCCCTCCTGTTGGCAGCCTTAGATGTGGTTAATATGTTCACTACAGTGACATCTTCAGAGCAGAGCAGGGCCTTAAAAAAAAATAATGGAGGAGGGAAGGGAGGAAAGAAAAAGTAATGCTAAGATTTACAAAAACAAATGACCCAATCTGGGTCCTGTCCCTGGAGCGTGTCGGGGCCAAGAATGCTGTAAATATGTATTTGATTCCTTGCTGAAGGTGGTTTGAAAATTGTCCATGTTCTTTTGTTTTTCTTTGGTCTGGCTTTACAAGTTAGCTAATGATTAGGTCCCAGAGTGGCTGTGCCTCGTGCTTGCCAGTTGATGAGGAGATGTGAGCCTCCATCTCAGATGGGCTCTTAAGAAAACCTTCAAGATGCTCCTCTGAACTCTGATACAGTAAAGCTGCAGCTCTCAGAAAGTGACTGCACCACAGTGCCAAAAGTCTTCTATGAAAATCTCTTAATCCTGATGTGTGTGTACTTATGCCTGCACAATTTTGTTCCCAATCCTGCAGGTCTGCTCTACAAATCCTCCATAAAGCCTGTGAGGTTGCCAGAAGGTACAACTACTTCCCAGGTGGGATGGCCTTGGTCTGGGCCACGTACTATGAAAGCTGCATCAGCTCTGACCAGAGCTGCATCAATGAGTGGAATGCCATGCAGGACCTGGAGTCCACCCGCCCCGACTCTCCAGCTCTGTTTGTTGACAAGTCAGTTCTCAGTTTTATTATGAAAAGTTGACTTGGTTCACAAGAGAAATCCCCTTTTTTGTTTCTTTTATTCTTCTGGCAGTTCATTTCCTTTCTCTACTTTAAATGCCTTCAAATGTTTCTCTTCCATTTTCCTGGTCGAGATGCTTTCAATGCAAGTCCTTCCCACCAGTGCTCTGTGCTGTGTGTCTGTTGCATTGTCTCAGCAGTGTTTACTGCTGGTTTGGAGAAATCCTCTCCCTCTTCCTTTCCAGGCCAACTGAAAGGGAACGGACAGAACGCCTGATTAAAGCCAAGCTCCGGAGCATCATGATGAGCAAAGACCTGGAAAATGTGACTTCCAAGGAGGTAAATAGAAAAACTCCTTGTTATTCTTCCTGCTAGATTCCTTTTCCAGAGAATGTTATGTTGACAAAGAGACATTGTATGATGAGGTGCCATTGACTTTTGAGTGTATTGCCAGCTGATCCTCAAAGGTTCTGCTCTTTGGCTTTGCTGCACCTCTTTTCTTAGTTGTAAAACAGAGTAATACCAATATTAGAGCACGTTTTTCAAGATCTTAGTAACAAGCCAGAGTGGCATCAGAGGTGATACTTCATTCCAACTTGCAGCACTTAAGGGCATGTCCAAGCAGTGAATTTGGAGCCACTTATTCCTCATGGTGCTGTAAGCAAAGATAGCTCTCTCAAAAGTTGCAGTCAGTGGCTTTGTGTCCTCCCAGCTGTGAGTATACATGGCTGTTCTAGAGGAGCGTGCTGATCTTCACTTGTTTTTGGACACAGAGTGTGCTAAGAAGCAGTGTTTTCCTTTCTCCTTGTTGGCTTCACTTTAAGATTCTGTTTTCTTTGTTCCTGAGCAATGTCAGAGAGGCTTACTGGTGAGACCTTGCTGCTATGTCTATGGATGAAGAGTCACAAGTCAAGGCTAAAACGAGTTTGGATCTGTCCCACAGGGACACAGTGCAGATGTACTCGGAGCAAATGGCAATGGTTCTGTGTAGGTTTGGGTTTTGAGTTTCATGTTTGTTAGTTGCTCTCCTGGGTCTTGTTCATCTCAAGTTATTTTTTGGAAGGAGGTGCATGATATATGTGTATTTTACTTGGATGTTATCTGAAGTCTTCTTCACAGATCTCAAACATGGGGGCCTAAGATGCCACGTAGTGAGATTCTTTGTCTCCAAAAGGCTGAATCCCTCCTGCTGTCTTTAATGAAGTACATAAAAAGTGCTTTGTGAAAGAGTGCCAGTAAATGTTGCTATTGAACAGAGACGATTCTAGGTGGCATCCTTTGTTTTCTGCTCTGCAGATCCGGAATGAGCTGGAAAAACACATGAATTGCAACTTGAAAGAATTCAAGGAATTCATAGACAATGAAATGCTGCTTATCCTGGGTCAGATGGACAAACCCTCTCTGATTTTTGATCACTTGTATCTGGTGAGTTGCCCTGTTGGGAGCTCTAGCAGAGCTGAAGGCTCGGTGAGAGCGACCTGATGGGTCACTGGGCTGTGGGGATCTGCATTTGGTATCAAGTTCTGCGTGCGTGGCCAAAGCTGTATGAAGAGGAAGGCTGGATGAAGGTGCTGTGCCCTTCAACTTTAAGCAGAAGCAAAGAAAGATGTGTATTCTGTGTAATGTTTTGCCACTAGATGGAACTGCAGGCAAAACCAGACGCTGCCATCTGGAACAAAGACTTGCTTGAGATGAGCACATTTGTGCCTGTTATGCTGGGGTCACTTCTAGTTTTTTTTTTCCTGGAGAGAGTCAGAGGAAGTGCTGATGTCTGAGGGCAAATCCTGCTTTTTAAAATCCAATTTAGCTTTATGTTATGTGGATACAGTGAGATCCAGTGTAGCCACCTCTAGAACTTTCAGGATTTGCCTCATGCTCCCCATATATATATGTACTTATGATCACAGTGGTTAAAAATCCAGAATGGCCAGGGCACAGTGATCTGGGATTGAACTTACCCCTGACTCTTGCATCTTACAGGATTTCGTGCTGTACAGCCCTTATGACTTTTTATCCACAGTTCTTCTGATTTCAGAGGAACTGTGAACTTCCTTATGCCTGAATTCGAGGCTGTTAGGATAAGCCTGATCTGGCTGCTAGAATGATTCAGGCAGCATCTGACGGTTCTTCACAACAGTCTGAAGCTGGTGGTACTAATTGTGCCCTTTAGAAACCATTAGCAACATTGCAGTTGGCAGCTGAGGAGTAGTGCTGAGACTGGGGCAGTTCAGAATCTTAGAAATGGGGAAGCTCCTTTGAAAGATGTTTTTATCTGTGTGACTGTTGCAGGGGTCGGAGTGGAATGCCTCTAACCTGGAGGAGCTGCAGGGCTCAGGGTGAGTACTGAACATTCCAGGCTGTGAGTCAGGTCTCTTGAGATGCCATGTGGCATTTGTAGATGGTAGGGAAGAGTTCCCAGCAATGTGGGTAACTGATATCAAGACTTCGGGCAGGAAAGCTTTCCTGTCTTGTTTCCATCACATATTCACATACGAAGTGGGAATAACAAAACTGCAAGACCTCTTAACCACCCTCCCAGTGTGTAGCAGCCAGGTATGAAGCAGACATCAGGTGTAAATTCCTGCAGGCTGCAGAAGAGCGAATGTTACAGTGCAGTGTTCAGGAAAAACTCCATCTAAATGGAGCAGAATTTGCTGTGGATGAGCAATCCCCACCTCACCTGCCCAGACAGGCAGCTGCAGGGCTGTCTTTCACCACACTGTCATCACCACACCACTTCTTGGCTTGATTTATTTTCAGGCCTTTTAGATGAGTGAGAATTTTATGTATAATATTTGCTGTTTTCCCAAGGCATGCACCACCTCTGATGTGAGAAACTGCAAATTATTGCTCAACAGCATGACTAAAAATGTTTAATTTGGAATCCTTGGGAACAGATGTCTGAACATCTTTGAGCAAGTGGATCAACCAGCATGTCAGTGCTTCTGATCTATGATGAGGGCATCTTGACATGCGGTGCCTGGAAGTCAAAGCTGGGCAAACTGAAACAAATATCCTGCAGCCTTGATTTGTCTGAATGATATGAAATAGTAAATCAATACGGGCCTTCATTCTCCCTAGAGACACTGTAAACCCTGCTATAGTGCTTGGCAGGAATCAGGAGATTCACAACGTGCATCAGTTTCCTTTTCCTGGCTGTGGCAGTTCAACTCTATTTTTCTTTTTGTTCTCTGCAGCATTGACTACATTTTGAACGTGACCAGGGAAATTGATAACTTTTTCCCTGGCTTGTTTGCTTATCACAACATCCGGGTGTATGATGAGGAGACGACTGACCTCCTGGCTCACTGGAACGAGGCGTATCATTTCATAAACAAGGCCAAGTAAGTGGGCTGGGGGAATGTGGCTTGATGTGAGAGTGTGTCCAAGCAGAGTGCATCCAATCCAAGCCACAGCAGAAGCTGCCTGAGGTCTGGAGGAGGTGACACTGCCCCACGTGCTCCAGCCAGCTCTGCAGCTGGAGGTGGCAGCTGGGCTTTGTGTTACATCTCCTGCCAGGAGTTCTGTGTCCCTGGAGCTTCCGTGTACTTTGTGTCTTCCTGTGCTGGTTTTAACCCATTTCTAACCTATGGGTTTTGTTGTTTTTTTTTTTGTTTTTTTTTTTAAAATAATAGTAATTATTTTGTTTTGCTTCTAAAAGGAAACGAGAGCATTTCCTCTACTTGAGATGTTCTGGAAATATTCCAACGTGTGTCCTTGTTGAACAAGCCCAAGAGATGGTCGCAGAGCCCATCACACCCTGCTGCTGTCACATGCAGGCTGCTGCTGCTTATCCCTGTGCCCAAAGCATTGGGCAAGTGGGTGGGAGGCTTCGTGGTGGCCTCTGATGTGACAGCATGGCTGAGACTGGCCTTCCCCCTCCTGCCTTTTCTGGAGGAGAATTCTTCTCGTGGGCATCTTAGTCTAAAACATTCATGACCTACAGAGCTGTGGTGTTAGAGTGGTTAGCAGGACAAAGTACTGCCCCTCCACCATTTAAAATGTCAACACCACATAGGATAAGCAGAAAGATTAGAGAGGTGTTTTCTTGATCTTTCTGCAGGAAGAATCACTCCAAGTGCCTGGTGCACTGCAAAATGGGCGTGAGCCGGTCTGCGTCCACTGTGATAGCTTATGCAATGAAAGAGTTTGGCTGGTCACTGGAAAAGGCCTATAATTACGTGAAGCAGAAACGCAGCATTGCAAGGCCAAATGCAGGCTTCATGAGACAGCTTCTGGAGTATGAAGGCATTTTAGATGCAAGGTAAGGTGACAGAATGAATGGAAAGGTGATCTGCAGGAAATCGAAGGACCTCATTGTTGGCAGCACCTTTAGAGTTTCAGTATATCACCAAACACTGAGGTCCAGGGATTTCTGTTCAGGCAATCAACCCTTCTTGCAATGAACACGACAAAGACAGTGACAGCGTGTGTGGTGCTGCAGTCTGAAGGCCACACCACCGTGCAGAGGGGCTCTTTGGAAGGGCAGAAGCAGGAGCCTGGGCTAACTGCACTTTTCTAAACCTTTTCTCTGCCAGCCCACCCCAGATGGAAATTAGCTGTCTTCAGCTCTGGTGTAATTCATTGAGTGTTTCTCTGTGCTTGTGTTGGTGTTTCTCAGCAGCCAGGCTGTTCAGCAAAACATTGTTCTTGTTTTATGAGGCAGAACTGAGCTTGGGCAGTGTTGGAGCGTTCTGGGTGACCATGCCAATCATGAAGCTTTGTCGTTGCAAAGGCTGTGGTATCTAATAAGGGTTTCTGTATGCTCCACACTCCACTTGGCCTCTGCTCTAGCTGAGGTAGAGAAGGAAAATTTTCCACTCTGGTTCAGCAAAAGCCATGCCATGGAACGTGCAGAGTTGTTGGTTCAGAGCATTTGATGCTGGCAGAAGTCTCTGTTCCCATCATGTTTGCAGTGCAGGGCCATGCTATGAGTCTGCTGGGCCAAAGAGATGCTGGAGCAGGTGCAGTGAGCAAACTCCTTTAGTGCTCAGGATGGCTTTGCCCTGGTGGGGCTGGACCTGCCAATCAGTCTGTTCTGAGTTGTGAATCTGCTCTGTGCATAGAGAGGGAGGGACGCTCCTGGAGCTGAGCGCTTTCAGCTTGCCATCAGCAGCTGCTCCGCTGTGCTCACTTGTATCTCTGTCCTTCCTCCAGCAAGCAACGCCACAACAAGCTGTGGAAGCAGCAGGCAGAGAGCAACCTCCCCCAGAGCACAGATGGCACCGCAGGGTCAGGTGACTTCTTACTTGAGAGCTTGGACATCGACCTTGAAAACCGGCTGGCTGACCTGGACACCCCATCGCAGTCAGCATACCTGGACAACCGAGCAGGCACCGAGCTGCCCATAGGCTTCAATTACTGCTTCCGCCGCCTCTCGGACACGCTGCTGGAGAACAAGGTGCCTGGGGACAGGGGCAGCTTTTGCCACGTGGAGCAGCTGGAACGGGATGCGCTCACAGAGCGTGCGGCCTCGCTGGCGAGGCAGCCTCCAGCTGTGCCTCCAGAGATGGCCAAAGGCCTGGAGCCAGCAGAGCCTCTGGCAGAGCTGAGCAGCTTCTGTGACAAGGAGGTGAAGAAGAAACGAGAGTTCAGCCCTCGGAAGGCGAGGATGGTGCTGGGCGCCGTGGAAGCAGGGGAGGATGGTATCAGGGAGGAAAACCCGGTGGAGAAGTGGAAGCGGCGGTTGTCCATGCACAAGGAGGAGAGCAGGCTTAATAGGGAGAACTTGAATAACAACAACAGCAAAAGGAGTTGCCCAGAGGATTTTGAGGTGCGTATGGATCTGATGTGTAGGTGATTAGCATGGCTGACTACTGCAAGCGGAACTACTCATCTTCATAGCGCAGTCTCATTTGACTTGGATAAAGTCTTCTGTTCCATGATGAGCTTCTTCCTTTTCAAAGTGCTGAACATGGCTTTGCTTGCCCAAGCTATGGATATAGATGCCAGACAGAGCACGCACATGAGTGCACTGTAAACTGCTCTGGGCAGCTTGCTTGCGTGACCATCACTTGAGACGGTAGGTGTCCTTCCACTGGGAGTTCTTGTTCCTGCTGCAGGGCATGAAGAGACAGGGCAGTGGGCTGCCTTTCAAAGCTGCGTAGATCTCATGACCTTTGCCTCTCACTGTTCTGTGCCCATTGATTTGTCCTTGTTTTCTTTCTTGCAGCATGATGCTGTGTTTGGGATCCTCAGTAAAGTCAAGCCTTCCTACCAGTCCTGTGCTGACTGCATGTACTCCTCGGGCAGCCTGGCTCCGGACTCTTTTGGGGAACAGTGTGAGAAGCTGAACTCCAGCTCTGCACACCGCAGCTCCACCATCTGCACACAGCCAGCCCTCCTCTCCCACCTCCCCCCATTGGGGGAGCACCTTCTCAGCAGGGCACGCATGGAGGAGGGAATGGGGACTAGAAATACTGAGGCACTGCTTCCTCTGTCGGCAGGAGGCGGTGCTTTGGAAGCCGGTGCTTGCAAATCAATGGTTGCTCATCAGTGTGGCTTTTCAGAAAAAGGAAAAGATGCACCAGAAATCCCTGTCAGAACACTGCAGCCCAGGAGAAACTCGCACTGTGACAAGAGCCTGCTTAGCACAGAAGTGGTGAAAGAAGAGTCTCTGACCAGAAAAGATAGCAAACCTACCAAGGATCCAAAGTACTTGTTCAGTAAAGACTTGGAAAAGCCAAGTGCTAACAGTTACTTGATGCAGCATCAGGAGTCCCTTATTCAGTTGCAGAAGGCAGGCTTGGTCAGGAAGCACACCAAGGAGCTGGAGCGGCTGAGGAGCCTGCCCTCAGACACCTCAGTGCTGCTCCGAGAGAGCGCCCTGGGCAGGACAGAGCCCAGCATCGCAGAGGAAGGCGAGGAGCTGGTTCCACATCCCGGCCTCGTGCCCCTCCTGAGGCCTTCACCACCTGAACCCGGAGATGCTGAAAGCGACCTGGAGAAGCTGGAGGTCAAACGCGTGCTGGACGGGGGGACCTCTCAGAAAGCCTCCGTCCCCATGCTGTGCAGGCTGGAACACACCAGCAGCTTCACCAAGGACTTCTTGAAGACCATCTGCTACACCCCCTCGTCCTCCCGCAGCTCCAATCTGACGCGCAGCTCCAGCAGTGACAGCATCCACAGTGTGCGTGGCAAGCCAGGCCTGGTGAAGCAGCGGACTCAGGAGATCGAGACCCGGCTGCGGCTGGCCGGCTTGACTGTCTCTTCCCCTCTGAAGAGGTCCAACTCTCTTGCCAAGCTGGGGTGTCTTAACCTGTCTTCCGAGGACCTGTCCAGCGACGTGGACGTGTCGACCATCACGGGCTCCAAGGAGGCCGTTTCCAGCGAGTCTTCCGGGCTCTGTGAGCCACCCTCTGCTCCAAGGGGAGCAGATGTTGGCTCCAAGATGTCAGCCAAGCCGGCACTTGGGAACATGAAGACTCCGCTTTGGCTTGGCAAAAGTTGATGCCTTCTATGTGGGGAGTGGGGGGCTGGATATTTGTTGTTGGTTTTTTTCTTTGTTATTTTTCTAAGGCATTTATTCATTGCACCAATCATCTGACTTGCACCCATCATCTGATGCCACCTCTTCTTCCCTTCCTTGTACTCTTAAGTGGGGAGAAAAAAGTAATTGGGTCATGGATGGCACAAGGGAAAAATAAAATGTTTTGCATGGCTTAGAAGAGGACCGTGTGTGTGAATCCGCCTGTTGTCCTGCAGGATGCTGTTTCTCATATGTTTGCCAAGTACAATAATGCATTTTGTATATGGATAGATACTTCCATCTACCTGTATAAAATGCTGAATTGAGAGTCTCAGCAAAACAATTAGTCATTACTTCATTTTTTTTTAAATTTTTTTTAACTGAAATGTCTCCTAAAACAAGCAATTGTGGGAAAACCTTTAAAGCAGTGACACGAACGCTACCTCTGTTCCTGCCGACTTGTAATTGTGGCTTGTTTGGGTTTTTAAAGGCTTTTCCCACCATACTGACTGTTATCTGAAGGCGTTCCCTTACTGTTAGCTGTGATCTCCTGGAGGAGCAGTGCTGGGCTGTCCTGCACTGTGTGCTCTTGCTGTAATGTCAAGTGAAGGAGTGTGAAGCTGTGTTCGTACCGACTGTGATCCGTTGGCGTTGACCTTTGCTGCATGACCACGTGAATCGTCGTCGTCTCCTGTTGGTGATGGAGTGCATCCAGGTTGTGTTGCTGTGGAAGGTTCATCGTGCTCAGCTGGAGAGGTGCTGTGCCCTTTGGGTGTTTTTTGCTGTTGTCTTGGTTTGTGATGTCCCAGTGATGATGACCAACCAGTGAGTGGCCGTGCACCGTAGTGATTCTCAATGTGTGATGCTGTGTTGGTGTCGTGGGGACCCTTTTTGGGCTGCTGGTGGCACACAGGACAGTGAAGTTATTCCCTACCTGGTGGGGAAGGGCAGTGCCTGGCTGCCCGGCTGCCTGCATTCCCTTTGCAGTGTGGAGCAGGCTGGGGTCAGACCAGAGCTCACAGGGCTGAGATGGCAAACAGATGCTCTTGGAACTCCCAGGCTGAGAGTGAGCCCCAAACCTCTAAAATCCTGTAGAGCCCCATCAAAGCCATTCTTAACGATCCTCTCATTGAAGTGAGGGAAAAGCAGGACTGTGAACTGTCATTCTCAGCCCACGTTCATCAAAACCTCAATGGCTTGAGAAAAGGGAGCTGTGTGCTTTGCTGTCCTACATGCCCAGAATTACCCTTATACAAGGCTGTACTTTTTTATACTAGCAGTGTGAGGAGTTGTAAGGAGTGGGAATCAGTGAATAAATGTCCCTCTTTAAAGGGTCTTAAATTCCCCATGCATTTTAAGGGCATTTTTCCTATTTCTCCCACAAACCATCAATTGAAGCAGAGCTCCTACATGTGGGGCCCTGGAGGAGACACGTGGGGCTCTGCCTCCTGGAGGGCTTGGGAGAACACGGGTTTATACAGATGCTGATGCCCACTGCCATCACCAAGAGCTTGGTGGTGCCACCAATGGCACTGCCATCAGAAAGGTGCGCTGTGCCATCCCAGGGGGGTTTGTAGCCAAATCCGTGATGCTCACAGGCTTGGATGTGTTTGCATGAGAAGGTAGATGGTTTGCTTTTGTTTTCCACGTATCGTAATCGTTCTTTTACAATGGAGTGCCTTACGACTAGTTTACAAATACTGTGTATTTACGCTGAGCTGTTGGACTCTGCTGTTTGCTGTTCATTTCTTGGTGCTTTCGGTGTATCCGGTGGCATTGAACTGCTGCCACTTCCTCCAGCCCCTCTCAGCCCTTCCCCATTTCATTGCTGCCCAGGGGGCGCACAGCAAACTCCTGCCGCAACCCAAACCCAACCCCGTCCCAATGGAAGACCCCCAACGGGGCCCTGTTCTCCCACCTGATCCCCATTGGGTTGGCTCAGCAGCTGCGGGAGGAGAGCGAGGGGTGGGCGCTGTGCCGCGTCCAGTGCACCGCTGTCCTCTCTGGTAACAACGTTCTTTTTATTCCATTGTATTTCTGAAGTCTGGTTTTATATTTAAATCAGCCGTATTTTTTGTACTGTGCGTTGACGGTAGGGGATGCATAATGCACTTTTTTTTTTTTTTTTTTTACTTTTGTTTGTACAAACGTTCTGTATATTGTATGTCCTTCTTGTGAGAAAAATAAACTGGTTTTTTTTTTTTCCCTTTTACAAATAAGCTTGGCGGTGTTTTTGGAGGTGGAGAAAGAACGGGAGCAGCTGTATCCTCACTGTGCTGGTTACGTTCTCCCTGCCCTGCTGCGAGGGTGCAGCGTCAGGAGCACACCTGAGCTACGGCGTGGGCACGACTGTGGGTTTTCAAGGAGAAAAAAAGGGGGTACGAGGCAGGGATTTCTCTTTTCAGAGCTTGTTGGGCTGGGTGCGAGGAGCTGCCCTGGGATCCCCCTAGGAAAACCTCCGCTCTGCTCCACGCCGGCAGCCCTTCCCCAGCACCCACCGCGTTTTTGCCTTTAAAGGCAAACAGAGAGCGGTGCCGCACGCCTGCGAGGAGCCGGGTGCTGCTCTCGCTCTGGGAGCTGCATCAGGAGGAACATGTCAGTGTTTACCTTGGCAGGGAAGCAAAGCACAGGGCTGGAGATGCTCTCTGGCTTTGGCGCACTGTGCTGAGTGCCTCAATAAGTCCTTAACCCCCACCAGAAACGGGTGCTTTGGGGAGGTTTTCTGCATCGCGTTTGCTGCGGGCTGGAAGTGCTGCCTGCAGGGCGAGGCGCTGATATGTGCGTGCAGAGCTCACCAGGGGGGAAAGGAAGCCCTGGGCTCGTGGCATCTCCACGGCAGTGCTTTGCACGCACGAAGCTGTGCACTGGGGCGGCACTGGGAGTGGAGGTGAGTTTGTTCCTCTTCTGATTGAGCGTCACTTTTGGCATGCTGGCCGTGGTCGGTGCTGCATCCTGTTGAGGACGTTGCTATGGCAAAACCACATCTGCTGTGACGTGAGGACTCGGCGGCTCACGGGGCTGAGTCTTCTCAGTGTGTTCTGCCCCAGCGCATCCTTATGTGGGACCTGAGATTTTTAGCCCCTTGCCCTGGCTCTGCAGGAAGAGCTGGGTAGCAGTGCTGTGCCTCCATTGAGCATCTCCCGTGGGCTGGAGATGAGCCCCAAGCTCAGGGTGAGGACTCTTATCTGTAGGAGAGAGAAAGTGATGAGTTTGCTTTTGATATGGTTTTGATATGCTCTGCCACGTCCCTCTGAAGGGCTGTAAGGAGTGGGAGCGCAGCACCGGCTCAGTGCCCTTTGGGCCAATTTGGGAGTTTTTCTGCATCCCTCGTTGGGATCCCGCCCCAGGGCAGCACTGCACCATAAAAGGCAAAGCGCTGGGGACGTGCTGGGATGGAGCCCAGTGCCAGGCACCCGCTCCCCCCGTGGCCGAGCTCCTGGAGCCTGCTTGGCAACGGTGGCCACATCCGAAGGGAAGAACTTTTGAGCTCACAGCACTGTTTTGAGAAGCACCCAGCACATCCGTAGGGATTTTTGCTAAGTTATGCTTTGGAGTCTCCTATAGGAAAATTGTTTCTGAGCGTGGCTGCCGTTGAGCCCCGCTGTTAATGATGCCACAGAAACTCCCTTAGCACTGAGCCGTCCCTGCGTTCACTGCAGCCGGCCCGGCCCTCCTGGGGGCCCTGCGCCAGCACTGCTGCGTCCCAGCGAGCAGCAGGAGGGCAGCAGCTACGGGGTGAACCCAGCACTCCTGCTAAAGGGTGACCCTGCCCTGACGTTGGGCCTGACCCCAAAATCACTGAGAGCAGAGGGGAACGAGGAGCTGTGACTGCTGGGGAAAGGAGGAGAGAGCCTGGAGGAGGATGCGAAAGGAACGCTGCCCATAAAGCACCATGGGGCAGCACGTGGTGCGGTGATGGGCACTGCGCAAGGAGCGACCCCGGGCCCTGCGCTAGGAGCTGTGCCATGCCAGCGGGCAGCCACGAGGTTGAGAAGCCCCCACAGCGCCAGCACTGAGCAAGGAGAAGGCAGTGAGCCCTGGTGGAAGCGAGGCGCTGAGCATGGCAGCCTCCACCTGGCAGTCCTGTGGATATTTACGGGATGACACAAGCCAGGCACGAGGCACAGACTGCGCCACGTCCCGGGGAGGTTCGGCAGTAGCACGCCAGGAGTGCAGCCCACAGCCTCTCCAGCAGGGCCTGGGTGCCACGATCCGGGCACACTGCCCCACCATGAGCTCTGCGGGGATGGAAGGAGAAAGCCCTCCGAAGGTCTATGAGATGCAGGTGGGGCAGCGGCGGGCCGGCAGCGGGCGCACGGTGAGGCCGGTGGTGTACAGGCTGGAGGAGAGCGAGTATCGGCGGCTGCTGAAGGAGGCAGAAGAAGGCCCTGAGGAGGACTGGGAGCCTGAGAATGAGGGGCTCGGACCGCAGGAGGGCTGCCCAGGGAATGGGGTGACGGCGAGCCCCAGGCTCCATCGGATTGATGTCCTGCGGGGAGCCCCACTGATCCGCTCGTACTCGGAGAGCAGCGTGGAGCTGCGGGTGGAGAGCAAAGCGCCGGACTGCCCCACGGAGGGTGGCAAACCCCGAGTCCCTGCCAGGTCAGACAGCTTTGAGCTGATGGATTACATCCTGCAGAGCAGGCAGGAGGCGGGGGCGCCGCTGTCCCACAGCCCCCGAGACGGATTCATGCAGGTGTTGGGCTTTGCACCGTGCCAGAACGGAGAGGATGGGCAGCTCACAAAGAGCCGGGCGGCGAGAGATGCTGGTAAGCTTACAAGGCAGAACAGCACCCAGATGCCGGAGAACAAGGAATGGCTTGGAGCAGATGTGGATATGGAGATGCTGGAGTCATACAGCCAGAAAAAGTCACCTCCGGCCCCACCGGCCAGGTCACACAGTAAGGAGAGCCTGGCACTGAGCATGAGCAAGACCGTAGCACTGAGCAAGGCACTGCTGGAGCCCTGCAGCCCTGCGGCCCGGCCAGGGGGGAAGGAGCCAACAGGAGGGGGCCCAAAGGAGCAGGGGAGGAAGAGCGAGGAGGAGGAGGAAGAGGAGGAGGAGAAAGTGCTCAAAGTTGCCGATGCGAAGAAAACCTTTGAGAAGGCGAAAGCAGAGGGGAAGGCAGCAGCTAGCAGTGCCCGGAAAGGTGAGGGGGACAATGGGGGGAGTGGGGCACAGCTCTGCAAAATGGGTGGAAAGGGGTCAGTGGGGTGAGGGCTGCGGGGCAAGGCTCCATCCTGCAAGCTGTGGTTGTATCAGGGACGGAATTCTGACAGGTGCCAGTGGAACTGCTGTGTGAGATGGGGTTTTGCTATGTCATGGCTCTCCTGGAGCCTTTGGTGCAATTAGTAAATGAGTGCCACGTCTAGTTCAGATGATTTCATGAACAGATCTAACATAAGAGTGACTGCACGGTACTTTTTCACGCTTTCACCTGTCCTTCTTTGTCTCTCTGCATACTGGGTGATCTGATATCAGTTTAATTACGGTGTAATCAGCAGGTATTGTCATCTTCGGGTTCTTTTTTCCTGTGCTGGGACTTGGCTGGGTGAGTGCAGGAGAATGACATCAGTTGGAAGCCGTCCCCCTGCAAAGCTGTGAATAAGTGAGCTGTGCTGGGATTTTAGCAGTGAAACAGAAACAGGGAGAGGTTAGCAGTGAGTGTGCTTGAGGACGTGTCGGACCGTGATGGTGAAGCTGCACCTTCGGCGTTCTGACAGTCTGCGATTGGGGATTTCCTTATAAAGGAAAATAAATGTCAGGGCGCAGGAAATCTGTGCTGGCTTGGAATGGAGTAACGCTGTTATTAAAAGCCAGGAGCAGTTACCCCACAGGGCCGGGCGCCCCAGGGGGCAATCACACTGAGATGAGAGCCCTCCTGGGGTGGTACAGAACAGGGGGGAGAGTTCTGTTCCTGCAGCCCATTGAGCAAACCTGCTGCCAAGCTCACATCTTCCCCCGCCTCGCGCTGCACAAGGACATCTCACTTCTGCGTACCGCCGTGTGATGCCTTTCTTATACCTCTGATTTTTCCAGCACCTTTGGCCCAACTTGATCCTAGACAGCAGGGAGAGAAACAGAACGAGATGGCAAAAGGCTTCCAAACTGGTTGACTAATGAGGACAAGACTGGGCTGTGGGTTGTGTGACGCGGAGACCCGCAGCGCCCAGCCCCGCACGCAGCCCCGCTCACAGCCCCGCTCACTCCCTGCTGCCTGCCTGATTTTTTCCTGCTATTCAGAATGATAGGAAGTGTCAGTCCTGGGATATCCATGTTGTAAATAAAATACAGCTTGCTTTTTTCATTACTGCTATTTTGTGTGTGTGCGTTCTGCTTTCTTGTCTCTCTCCCATGTTCAGTCATCTGGTGTAGTGGAGATAGCAACAAAGAAAAATCCCATCTGTTGCAACCGATTGCTTTGTGGTTATTTGGTGTCCCGACAGTTTAGTTAGGTGTAGGGACCACCAGTCTTTTATTGCAAAAGAAATGAGGAAAAAGGAAAATATAGGACGTGATCATAGAATGGTTTGAGTCGGAAGGGACCCCCAAAGCCAGCTGGTCGCAGTGCCTGCAGTGCACAGGGACACCCACAGCTCCAGCAGTGCTCACAGACCCGTCCCCTGACTTTGGGTGTCTGCAGGTCCAGGCCTTTGAGTGATCCTGGATGGAGAAGAAAAGTATAGGAGGAGAAAGCCGAGCTCAGATTTAATATAAAGATCAGCTCCGGCTGTAAAGCTGGGCAGCACTGTGTTCTGTGCCTTTCCTATGGAGCTGCTGGAATGGATGGCTGTGACATCTCTATTGCTACACATAACGTGTGTGAGAGCGTGCATACGTAGTAATAGATGTGCTTTATCAAATGTGTGTTAAATCATTCATAGAGGCAATATGAATTATGGATAATGCCATGGCCTAATGCTCATGTGCAGGGATGGGGCCACGCAGAGGTGGGCAGAGCTAAAACTGGGGGGCTGTAGCTCCTCAGCCCTACTTTCACTCACTCATTCACCTTTCCTTCTGTCCGCATCACTGATGTGCTCTCACATTTCTCCCTTTCCTAGCTGTTATTCCACAAACCTGACAGAACACACTGTTCATGTAGGCTTTGCTCTGTGATTCCACAGCTCCCCTTTCTGGCCGAGGACTGAATAAAAGGGATTCGCTTGCATGGTCCCGAGGTCT